GCCTTCTTGGGAACAGTTTGGGCTGCCTGTGAGGCCTGTTGGGACGTCGTGGGGCTTTCGTGGGACGCCTTGGGACTCTTACGGCTCCATCTTGGGCATTTTTGGAGAGGTCTACCTGTTGGGCCGTATTAGCTTCCTGGTCTTGCCGTCCTCCTCCCAGAACCATCGCGTGCGCTCAAGCTCTAGTTGATCACCGTTCGCCTGGGCGTTCGGACGCGCTGCGTGCTTCGAGTCTTGATGCAGTGACATGCGACATGGGCTGTCTTGGTGGCCGCACGCCTCACTGGGGGGGCTGTTCTGCCATCTGGACGTCCGCCTGGACGCAACATATAGGGGACGCCGGGGACGCCTTAGAGTTCTCTTGTGGCCGTTCGGGGTTGTCTCGTTTGCCTCCTGGGCCACTTTCGGATCTCTTGGGGCCGTCTTGGGGTCGTCTTGGGGACCTCTTGGCCCGTCTTGGGGCCCTCCTGGAATTCGGGGGCCTCTAAGGACCGTCCCAGGGTCCTTCTGGAACTTCTGTGAAGCTCCCCGGGGACCTCCTCGGAGGATTCGTTCCATGGAGGCCCCAGGAGGGGAGGCGCCACTTAGGTGGTCTGGATGCCCCTGGTCTGCGGCCCAGGGCCCTCGGGGGCAAAGTTTCCGGCATATGAGAAATATATATATATATACGCGTACCAAAATTTGACCATTCTCGCGATCACCTCGGAAGGCGCATAAATTCCAGCGCTGGGCGTGCTGAGTGGACCGCTGGGTTAACAGTGCGCGGCATGAGACAGGCGAGCGACGGCGAGGCGACCTTGGGAGATGGAGGGCAGATTGACCACTGCCGAGGTCCACCAGAAGCGGCAACTGCAAGGGAAGGAATAACCAGCCTCGAACGCATCCCTATCCCTAAGAACGGCAAGTCCAAGGCGACGACAACCTTACGGATGTGCCCTCCAAAACTGAAGGAATTCTTAAGATCGACACCGATGTAAGGCGATGCCAAACATAGGAATAGGGATGTGCTTCGAGCTGGTAAAGGGAGGCGACCGCCCTCGGAGAGGTTTGCAGAGGCAGGCCCCGCTTGCCCGCCGGTGCGCGCATCCAAAGGCAGCGCGCTGGAAGGCCAGCACCCCGCGAAGAAGGGCGCCTCGGGTGGATGGGCAAAATCCTGCACCGCCCACGCGACCAGGGTGCCGGCGCAAACTTCAACGCACCCACTCTGCCCCCGATTCAGTGTTGGTTGGCATCGCCAGCGGGGCGGGGCGCAGGATTAGGGCCGGAGGCTCGGCACATCGCGGCGCAGCCCGTCAATGTTGAATTAGGGGCGCGGGGACTTAGATCGTGTTGAAAACGCTGGGGGAATGCATTCTCGTGTTCGAGATCGACGTTTTCTTTCCGTTCTGGGCATCGCATCTGTTATGCTGTCAAGTCTGGAATCCTCCCGTGGGCCACCTGTTCGCTTCCTTTCCGTATTGAAGTCTTGTTCAAATGCGTTCTTAAGTATCATACTGCCGATTGCCTGACGTCCACATTACAGAGTGTCCCGTTTTTCTTTGGTCGAATCAAAAACGACAAGCCCAATGCGATGACGATGTTAGGGGTGCGCCACAGAAACCTCCTTGAGAGCGGCACACAGATCATAATATACCAGTCGTAGGAATACGAATCTGTTTCAGGCTGGTAGCATCGGTGTGGCCCGTCGCCCAGTGGCTTGCGCAATAATTAAAAGAAGAGCGCGCCGCGACGGGAGCTTGGAGGCGGCTGGGGGGTCGGGGCTGGGCGAGCCCAGAGAAAATCTGTCAAGAGGAGGGATGTACGCAAATTCGCCCCAAAAGGGTCCCGAGACCCCTCCCGGGCTTCGAAGTGACCAGCTCATGGAGACGCGCCCAAACGTGGCGACGAAGGGGCCCCTCATCCTTCCTTTCCGCTCGCCAGAACCACTACTGGGCCACCTCAGCCCCCCAGCTGGCTCCAAACGGGAGCGAAACAGGCGCGAACAGCAGTTTGCCTCGCGCGCGCAGCAAGGCTCCAGTCCGCCAAGAACGAGGCCGTCCAGCTCAGCGGCACTCAACAGAGAAACCGGACCGCCGCATAGCGGCCGTGCACGGAGGAAGCGCGGAAGGTGCACGAGAGGAGAAGGAGTAGGAGGAAGAGGAGGAGGAGGAGGAGGAGGAGGAGGAGGAGAACGAGGAGAACGAGGAGGCGGAGAAGGCGGAGGAGGAACTAGAATTGCGGCCGCCCTGGGTGAATGAAAAGAAAAAACATGGCGGCAATGGCAACGCGAGACATAGCAGAGCGTATGTCGTTTTGCCTTCAATTTTGTAGAATACCGCGTGCACGCTGTAAGCTAAAACGGCAGCAGCGCGATCGCGGGTTCCTATTCGCCCCGGGGCTAATTACCCGACGGTGGGAAATGCCCCTCCGCAGCGGAATGAGGCGTCAGAGCATTCACCGCGTGGCCACAGCAGTGGACGTTCGGCACAACTCACTCGTGGCTCAGGAGCCTCAGCCCAAACAGGATAACGTGGACCCTGGGGAGCCCTGTCGGCTCACCGGTGGTGGCCAACGCGATCGTGGGATGAGCTGACCATGCCCAGGGTCGTGAATCAGAGCGGCAACCTACAGCAGGGTGAGCCTGAGGAAAGGCTCATTACCCGAGGTGACGTCGACCAGTCGATTTTGCTTAGCAGCAGGTATCAAGGCACTGCTCAATGGGGCCCGGCACAGGTCGTGCCCAGCGTGCGCTCAAGCCGTAGCCCTGATCGCGCCTTCCAGCCAGGTCCGTTCCCTGGCTCTGCCCTTGGCCGCTCGCCTTCCGCACTCTTTAATGAGTGGGTGCCGGCGTGCGTAGCTGACCGTTGAGGCGTTTGCACGGCAGCGTGTCTTGAGAGTACCCGCGCGCCCTGCTTCCTTCGTAGGTTCGCAGACGCAGCTCGTCGAATTGTTTGCGGTAGTATCTCTCGCTGCTAGCGTTTACTCGTCGCTTCTGTTGACTGGTCTACGTGTGGGTCTGGTCAATGCCGAATGGCACCGACGCGGCGCGTGCTGCGTGGATGCGGCTAAAATCAATGCCGCGTCGCGGGTGCCTACATTGGCTGTTCGCAAGTGTCCCACCGTCGGCAGCACAGCGTGGCCAACGAGCCAAGCCGCCGCGATGCACACAGGCTTAACTGTCAGAAACCGTGCCCGTTGATGCAGCACTGGCCGCTGCGGTGGCGTGTTGTCGCGCTGGCGCCTCGCAGCGCAGGCGGCGCTGAGGTGCCAAAGCCGGGCGCGCGCAGATCACACCTGTTGAATAGCTGGCACGTTGTGCCCGCCAGACCTTAGCGACGAACACGGTCACGTTGTTGTCCACGTGGCGCCAGTCTACTGCGAGACAAGAAGGTCCTTGCAATTGAAGGGGAGTCTGGCCAGTCACTGATGGCAGGGAACGGCGGAACGCCTTCTCGACGGTGCTCGTGTCGAACGAGGTCTGCGATGAGCGCGTGGTCGGGTCACCCGCGCAGGTCCTCGTCGTAGCTCAATCGCCAACTGCCTTACGGCCAGCACATCGGATTCAGCCATGCCTAAGCCCGTCGGCAGGTGGTGGCCCAGGCAAACTCGGGGTAGGACGCCCCATCTGCCATGAGTTTGCCGGGCGGTGGCTTTCCAGACGCTTGTGCAGCGGGCGGCGGCAGCGCAAAAGTAAAACTGGTTCCGGGCCGCGTGGTGAGCTGTGCTCTTGTCCCTGCCACAAGAGCACAGCGACGCGCGGAACCCGTGCATGTCAAGCACGCTGTCGCACCTCTGGCAGAAATCCTCCTCCTAGCAAGTCTCCGCGCCCAGCCGACATTGCAATTCAATGCGGACCCCAACGGGCTCCATGCTCAGCATCATGGCTTTGCTGGGCGTGGCCGTCAAGAAGCCGGGAGAGCCAGGCAGGGTCTCCGAAAGCACTGCGGCCTGGACAGCGGGGCGGGCGCGCGCCTGGTGATCACGTAGGCTTGCCCCGTCCAGCGCATCAGAGAGCGCCTTCTTTGTTCTAACAAGGGACGCGCAGTCTGCGCTGGCAGCGCGCCCCCGAGCGCAGCGGCCGGGCGTTGGAGATCGAAACCAGCGTCCTCGGCGTCCCCGGCGATGTCCGCTGCCGACCTGGGCACAGGAGGTGGGTCCTTCGAACTCGTGGCAGCATGGGAGGCGCAATCATCGGCCGCCCCGCCGAGAGCCGCTGCGTGCTCCGCAGACGCAGCCGCACGCACCGGAGGCTCAGCCGGCCTGCTGCCACTCGTCCGCGGCCGGTTGGAAGCCAGCGAGGCCCACAGAAGCGTTGCGCAACGAGTTGTCGAAGGTGGCAAGGGGCGCTGCCGCCGCCGCGGGGCCCACGGCACGCGCTGCGTACGACATCTTGCGGAACCCAGCAGACCGATGGAGGAGGCGATAAGCGACCTGCGGGTCCCCCAGCTCGAACAAGGGAGGACCAGCGCATCTGACTGAATGAAGTCTTGTCTGCTCTCTGCTGTACTACCCAGGCGCTTGCTGGAAATCCCTGATCATTGAATCGAGGGTGACTGGGGGTGCGAAACACGGCCTGCTTTTCATGCCTCCCTTGGGGTGGCGGCAAGTCGTAAAGCGGACGAAGAGGAGGACGAAGAGGAGGAGGAGGAGGAGGAGGAGGAGAATCACGTGTTCGACCATGGACCGCCTGTTACTCGTCCGCCGTCGGCGGCCTCCAGCGGTCTCTGGCGGCCTCTTGGCGGTCTGCTGCGCGAGATCTGGAGGGTTGCGCTTCACGGGGAGGAAAGGATCCATCGACACAGCGCAAGCCCAGACATGCGACGCCTGACTTTTTCAACATACGCACACACACACACACACACACACACGGGGTTCCCAGAAGTCCCAACCCTTTCCCTGGGGCTGGTTTTCCAACGCGGGCTGCATTTTGGCTGCCCCAGGGCCCCGCGAGGGCCCCCGGCCAAGGGCCGAAAACGGCCAAAGACCTGCCGTCGCGGTTTTGTTCACGACGGGAGCATGTCTGGGAGGAGAGGGGAGGGGGGGGAGAGACTCGAGGAGTACAAGGCCTGCTGCTCCTGCAAATGGGGGCCTGCAGAGCCTCACTGCGAAGGCTCCAGCCCCTGCTCCTCCGCGAAGGCCCGGAGGCGGTTCAGGAGGTCGGTTTTCAGGGAGTCCGGGAGCGTCGCGCGGCCCCGGGGGGCTATGGGCCGGAGGCCCAGAAGCTGCCACTGGCACCATCCTCCCTTCTCCTCCTCCTGCTCCTCCTCCTCCTCCATATTATTATTAATAATAATAGTAATATTATTATTATTATGATTATTATTATTATTCTGATTATTATTAGTATTATTATTAGTATTAGTATTATTATTAATAATAATAATATTATTCGTATTATTAGTACTAGAATTATTATTAGTAGTACTAGCATTATTGTTATTATTATTAATAGTGGTTTCATTTGTATTACTACTAGTAATATTAGTATTAGTATTAGTAGTAGTAGTAGTAGTAGTAGTAGTAGTAGTAGTAGTAGTAGTAGTAGTAGTAGTAGTAGTAGTAATACTATGAATATTATTACTTGCATTCGTATGACTATTATTATTAGTATTATTAGTCATATTAATAACACGATTGTTAGTATTATTATGACGATTAGTACTATTATCATTTAGTAGTATTATTGTTATTGATATTATTATTGTTATTGATATTGCTATTATTATGGTTTCTACAACGATTAGCGTTGTGTCTAAATATTAATATTACAAGTATCATCATCATTTGTATTACTAGTTCCATTGTTATTACTATTATCAGTATTATTAGTATTATTAGTAATGGTTGATTATTACTGCTTACCGTACGACTAATATTACATCAGTCTTCTTGATTGTCTTAATACGAACCCTCTTCTTACTAAAATTGATAAGAATATTATTCATACTACTATTATTAATAGTCATGTTTTCAGTCTTGGTAAATTATTATTATGCGATTAGAATTAGCATTGTCATTGTTGCTATAACTGGTAGTATTATTAATATTCGTTTTGTTAGTTGTGTGATTCGTAGTGCTTTATTCGTACTGGTGTTCGTATTCTTCTTATCCTTAGTATTAGTAGTTTTATCCCTAACTGTATTTTAGGTAGTATTGTGATTAGTTTTATTCCTCCGCCTTCTCCTCATCACAAACATCATCGTTATCATCAGCAGCATCAGCATCAGCAACATCATCAGCATCATCATCATCATCATCACTACCATCAGCATCGTCATCATCAGCATCAGCATCAGCATCAGCATCATCAGCGTCAGCATCAGCATCAGCATCAGCATCATCATCATCATCCTCATCATCATCATCATCATCATCCTCCTCCTCCCCCTCCTCCTCCTCCTCCTCCTCCTCATCATCATCATCATCATCATCATCATCATCAGCAGCAGCAGCATCATCATCATCATCATCATCATCATCATCATCATCGTCATCGTCATCATCATCATCATCATCATCATCATCATCATCCGCCATCCTCCTCCGCCCTCCTCCCTCCCCCTCCCCCTTCGCTGCCTCCTCCTCCTCATCCGCGTATTCCTCCTCCGCCCTCCTCCCTCCCCCTCCCCCTTCGCGTCCTCCTCCTCCTCCTCCTCCCGGGGTCTGACAGCTTCCCCAATCCGTTATTCAACTGCATGCTCCTCCACATCCCTGACCAAGGCAACTCGCCTGGGCATCGCTTATGGATGGGCTGGTGGGGTTACGCGAAACGTCTAAATATCTGTTAACACCGAACGTTTTCGGGCGGCTTCGGGCCCCAGGGCCATCACAGATCGATCCCGCTCCAAAAAAAGACGCTGAAGATGGGGTCTATCGCGATTTCTCGCGAAGTTTCAACTGTGCGACCGTCACGTTTGATCTCTGGGCCCCATCCTTCCCCCGAAATAATGTTGCATAGGTTTGGCCACCTCTGGGCCCTCTGTGGGCCTCTCCCGAGGCCTCAGGAGGCTTCCCGAGACCTCAGCGGGCCTCCAGTCGGGGGGCACGCAAAGGTGGGGTAGGGGCAGAGGTGGCGTCAGCGGATATTCGCTCGAAACGGCCCCTGGAAGGATGAAGTGTGAGCATCTAGCTGGGCGCGCTCCCTAGCCCCGCCTAGGGCTATCCCCACCTCAACGATCCCCCGATCCGAAGATCTGCTGAGACCTCTTGGAGGCATCATGAGACCTCCCGAGGCCTCTGGACACCAACGCAGATATCGGCGGCCACCACCGCCGAAGGAAAGGTGACCCCCGAGCTCGGTGCTGGTGGCAATCCTCAGACCTCTTAGGGGGCCAAAAAATGTCCAACAACACCGAGATCGCCCGCTGGAAGCGACCCCTGGCACTGGTGCTTGTGACTACTTCTGTAGGCCTCCGAGATGGCGGCCGTGATGTCCTGAATGGTGACCTTCTCGACGCCTCTGTCCTCCCCGTCGGGGGGAGAGGAGGAGGTCGCGCGCTCGCCCGTGCACCCATCATCATCCATCAGTCCCTGTCGGTCTGCGGTGGTCGTCCGCGCTGAAGCTGGATGATTGTTGCGGCACGGCTGCCCTCCCAAGCGCACAGTCACTGGGCTACCACGAGCAGCGCCGAACAAGGAACGAGGGGGCCTTTCTGGCCACGGCGAGGCCTCGGCCACGAAAAGGTCCCCAGACCCAGATCTGAGGAACGGCCAAAAACCAGAGCACATCCGGAACCCTACGCCCCAACTTTTTTTTTTCACGAGAAGACGATGCGAATGACAAGAGTTGTCGTTCACGCTGCACAAATCCGCTTCCCCTCATGGGGGCTATCAGCACACCCCTCGAAGCACACAGCCGCGGGCACGTACCACCCAACGCCCCAACGTGGTTCCTTCTCTGCGCCGTCCGAGCATGTCCACTGCCGCGAGGTCGTGCCCCAGGGACTCGGGAAAGCGGTGGATACGGAGGTCTGCCTGCCCGTGCGGGCGGGTTGGTATCCACGGCCACCACACCGCGAGATCCCCGGGAGAGACTCTGGCGGTGGATTGTCTCAGCATCTCGACTGCATTCCAAAAAGGGAAAAGGCGGCACAAACATGAGCTGTCGACGGTCCGCGCGGATCTCTTGGATCTGCGCTGGAACCCCCTCCCTGGCGCGCGGGACACGCCCGGGGCGGCGCTGCAGGCGCCGCCAGGGGAGCCCAAGCGCGAATCCCCCTCGGAGCTCCGAAGGTTCATGTTTATACCGCTTGTTCGTCGTCCTATTTTTTTTCTCAGCGCCTTGACCGCGAGGGAAAAGATCGGCCACTCGCAGAAGGGGGGGAAGGGGGACGGCTTCTAGGAAACAAGGGTGCTTCTAATCGGGGGCGGCCAAGAGGGGGGCGTCCATGCGGGGGGGACGCAAATCATGGCTGGCGGCACGGGCGCGGCCCAGGGGGGAGCCAAGGACATACTGGAACTAGAAGAGGCACCATGAAATCGGAGGAGCTACCATGGCCCCCGCCATGATACCCACCCACCCCCAGTCATCAGCCCCCCCTTGGCCGCCCCCGATCTGAGCCTTCCGCCCTCCCCAGTAGCCCCCCCTCTGCGCGTGGCCGGGAAGAGGACCAGGCTCCTGCAGGAGGGGACGACGGTCAGTCAGTCCAAGCCCGCGGTGCTTCCCTCCCTCCCACTTCCTCCCCTTCCCTCCTGCCTCCTCCTCCTCCTGCTCGATGGGGGGGGGGGGGGAAGCGGGCTCCACTTCTCCTGCTTGTCAAGAAATGCTCCCCCGTCTGCGCGTGGCCGGGAGGAGGCCCAGGCCCGGCGGAGGCCCAGGAGAGGGGAGAGCGGCTCCTGCCGGGGAGAGGGGCCTCTCTCGGCCCGACCTCCGAGGCCCGCGCGCGGGCCCCGCGCCCTGCGATGGGGCAGGGCGGGGGGGGGCCTCTCTTCGGGTCGGGCGACAAGCGGAGCGGAGCCGAGGCGTCGCAGGGTAAGGGGGGGGGCGACAAACGACGGGAGGCGAGACGCGCGCGTCCGCCGGCAGGCGGGCCCCACAGGAGCGGCGCGGCGCGGGCGGGCCGGGGCCCGATCAGACGTGCGCGTGTGCAAGGTTGTCGTTCTCCCACTCGTAGGCGACAAATAGGGGGGGAAGAAACATGCGCTTCTGGGGCACTCAAAGCCCCCTTTATGGGCCCCAAAGGGCCTTTTTGGGGGAGCACTGACAGACCCTTTTGATGCAGCCCCTCGCTGCCCCCCAATGTGTCGCCCCCCTCTCACGCGCCCCCCAAGGAGCGGGGCGCGCGAGTCCGCCGGAGTGGGACCCTTGAGGATCGGCGCGGGCGGGCGGGGGCCCTGACACCGTGGGGTCGTAGACGTTCAGAAAGGAGCCGTCGCGTGCGTGAGATACTCTCCCTCCAGTCTGCGCCACGCACAGCTTCGGGCCGACCGAAAGAGGGAGGGGGGCAGCAGAGATCGGCGGCGAGCCCAGGGGTAAGTGAGAATGAAGGGGCCCAAGGACACACAAATGAATACACACAAATAACAGGATTCCCCATATGTTTCCATATTTTCTGGGTTTTTGTCTTCCCCCCCACTTCCCATATTTTCCTACATTTTCTGGGGAATCGACGATTAATTGTGTCTGTGTGTTTTTTCCCCTCCTGGGAGAAGGGGCTGGTCTTCCCAGGAGGTTCGGAAGGCCTCGGACCTTCCGCAAGGTCTTACGAGCCTTTCCTGAAAACAAGGAGCACTCCTCAGAAGGCGCGAGGGCTTCTGAGAAGCCCCGCCGCCTTCTGGAAAGGCTTGCTCCTGCTCGCTTCCCCACCTGGCGCGCCGTCGAAAACAGGGGGGTCGCGAACCAGCTCACCTGGCTGATCTCTCCAGCGCCTCTCGGCGTGGACTAACCCAACCAATTCTGACAAAATGCACTGAGATTTGGAGAACCTCCCAAACCTGGCTCGGCCACCGTGTGAGGCCAACTCTAGGGCCGCTAGCGGCTCCCAAACACGGCTCAGCCACAAGCCGGCTCTTCAGGATCAGGCGCTCTGGCTGAGCCCCGTTTGCGCAGACCCTATTACCTGCCGGCTGGGGTCCGAGTGGATGGGGTCGGAGGATCGCGCCGCACCACCGATGCATCGTCGATGCATCGGCGGTGCACCGGCGACGCAAGCGCGGCGAAAACTGGGCTCCTCGTCGAGCCGCATCGGCAGTGCCCGGCACCCGGTCCCCCAACGATGGCGCCGCCGTGCCGCCCGCGGGCCGACGGCTGGCCCACCGCTCCCGCAGAGGCGGAGGCCGCCCGGGGCGCACGCGCGGGCGCGGGGGGGGTCGGTCCTGGACGTGCTGGACGCAGTGCTTCTTCAGCTCGTCCCTCCAGCCTACGGGGCCCAAAGATACGCACCACCACCACCACCACCACCACCACCACCACCACCACCACCACCACCACCACCACCACCACCACCACCACCTCCCTCACGCCCTCCCTCCCGCAGGAGCGAGGAGAGGAGGAGGGGGTGGAGGAGGTGGGGAAATCTGAAGGCACCGAGACCGCTGCTCCCCGGACCTCTCTGACTAGAGCTTCGAGGCGAGTCCAGCGGTGGCGACGAGGGCCTCCCAGGAGGCCCCAAGAGACGGAGGCGAGGGGAGGGCAGCGGTCTTGGTACCTTTCCCCCCCCGAGTGGTGGTGGCGTCTTCTTGGCGCCCACAAAACCGCACTCGGTCAGGACGGACACGATGTGCTCCTTCAGCTTCTGGCGCTCGCCTGCCCTCGCCGCCGCTCGGACGTCCATTCCCCGGGCATCTGTCGACGTCGTGCGTACTTTTTCGGCTCGATGATCTAAGCTTTTTCGTGTTTTTTCCTGCTTTTTCGGCTCGATGGTCCTCACCGGGAAAGAAGAAAAAGACACAAAAAACAAACAAACAAACAAACAAACAAACAAACAAACAAACAGAAAAAGACACAAAAAACAAACCAACCAAGACACAAATGGTCCTCGCCGGGAAATACAAAAAAAGACACAAAAAAGCAGACAAACAAGAAACACTCGGACGTCCGAGCGATGCCAGGCTGCCGCGGGGCCGCCACGCCCCTCCCCGCGCCAGCAGGTTGGCGCGCGGCGGGCCGGGAGAGGGAGAGGGGGAGAGGATTTTAGGACTCTAGGACTTTAGGATGTTAGGGGGAGAAGGGAGAGGGGGAGAGGGGGAGAGGGAGAGGGAGAGGAGGAGAGGGAGAGAGAGAGGAAGGGTTGTAGGACTCTGGGATTCTGGGTTGGGCTCACGCGCGCCAGACAGGGCACGAGGTTCAGGTGAACAAAAAAAGGCAGCCACAGGCGGCAGCGGTGATGGCGGCGGCAGAGAGAGAAAGATAGACAACAACAACAACAACAACAACAACAACAACAACAACAACAACAACAACAACAACAACAACAACAACAACAACAACCACGCCAACACCAACACCAACAACAACAATCATTGTACCCTCATGCGCGATGTTTCCACACGAAGCATGCGACCATCATGAAAACCATCCACATCATGGGGGTCTCTTGTTCTATAGCGGGGTCAGTTATTCCCATTCCCTGATCTCTCGCCCAATGAGGTCTTGCAAACACCTCCCCCGAGGAAGTACAACATATCCCGCCTCGAAAACACGTGCCCGCGCCTTGCTGCGCCGATGCGAGACCGCCAGTGGAACCCCAGCGAAGGGTAAAGCACAAGGAAACATCGAACGACAGGATTGCCTTGGTGGGGGTGGGGGCTGTCGGCGGTGAGGCAAGGACCTGGCCGTGAATAGAAAGGGAGGGAGTCTCGAGCAGGGCTGCTGTTGTTGCTCGGAGCGACGCCAATGCTGAAGAGAGTCGGGCGCTAGTCCAACGTGAAACAAAACGAAGTCTCGAGCGGGAGCGCTGGTTTTGTTGGGACGGCGGCTTTCGGCGGCAAGAAGGAAAACCGCCTTGAGTAAGAAAGGAAGAAGCAACGAGCGGGAGCCGTGGTTTTGTCGGGACGGGGGCTGTCGGCGGCGAGGAACAGCACCGTCCCCAGGGAGAAAAAAAAGAAATCTCGAGCGGGAGCGTTTTTCTTGCTGGGAGCAGCGCCAATTCAAAAGAGAGTAGGGCGCCAATTCAGCGTTTAACGGAAGGAAGTCTCGGGCGGGAGCGCTGGTTTTGTCGGGGCGGCTGTTTTCGGCGGCGAGGAGGAAAACCGCCTTGAGCAAGCAGGGAGGATGCATAGAGCGGGAGCCGTGGTTTTGTCGGGACGGGGGCTGTCGGTGGCGAGGAACAGCACCGTCTTCAGGAAAAAGAGAGAAGCCTCGAGCGGGAGCGTTGTTCTTGCTGGGAACGGCGCCAATTCAAAAGAGAGTGGGGCTCCACTCCAGCGTAAAGCGAAAGGAAGTCTCGGGCGGGAGCGTTGGTTTTGCGGGGCGGCGGTTTTCGGCGGCGAGGAGGAGCACCGCCTTGAGTAAAAAAGGCAGGAAACCTCGAGCGGGAGCGTCGTTTTTGCTGGGGGCGGCGCCGATGAGAGAAACACTAACGCGCCAATCCAAGGTAAAACGGGAAGAAGTCTCGAGCGGGAGCGCTGGTTTTGTTAGGACGGCGGCTTTCGGCGGCGAACCAAAACACCAGCACTGAGTAAAAACAGAAGAAGTCTCGAGCGGGAACGTTGTTGTTGTTGCTGGGGGCCCGGTTTTGGCGGTCCCCCAAACCGCTCGAGCAATGAACATGTAACCAGCGCCTCGGCGAGCGCGCCTGGGCGCCTGTAAAGGGTCCAACAATAATAATTGGTTAGTAATTCACATTCAACAACTACAACAACAATAATTTTATCTGCTCGCGTGACATTCAATGTGCATATCCCAAACCCTGGATACCCGCCCTCTTTGTCTTCGATCGAACCCCCTTTGGGGGGGGATATTCATTCCCTACGAAGGGCGGCAGTGGGGCCACGAAGGGCATACATATATGTGGCCAGAAGGGGCGACAGCGGGGCCACTGAGCTCAGAAAGTGGGCCACGAAGGGCAGCGAGGGGGCCACGAAGGGCGACAGCGGGGGCCACGAAGGGCATGCATATGGGGCCGCGAAGGGCGCGAGCGAGCGGGGGCCACGAAGGGCATCTAATCCGGGGCCACAGAGGGCAGCGACGGGGCCGCTGAGGGCAGCACCGGGGCCACGAAGGGCAGCGAAGGGGCCACGAAGGGCGACAGCGGGGCCACGAAGGGCATGCATACGGGGCCACGACGGGCGCGAGCGAGCGGGGGCCACGTAGGCATCCGTTTATGGGGCCACAAAGGGCGACAGCGGGGCCACTGAGGGCAGCAAAGTGGCCACGAAGGGCAGCGAGAGGGCCACGAAGGGCGACAGCGGGGCTACGAAGGGCAGGCGTATGGTTGCGAGGAAGTCGAAAGCGAGAGCGCGATTCTCCAATACACCGCGAGGAAGTATCAGGCGGGAGCCGCGATTCGGTGGTAAATTGCAAGGAAGTCCCAAGAGAGAGCGCGATCCTTCAACAAATTGTAAGGAATTATCAAGCGGGAGCCGTTGTTGGCGCGGGCCACGACGGGCGCGAACGAGCGGGGGCCCCCGAAGGGCATACGTATAGGAGGCCGCAGAGAGCAGCGACGGAACCGCTGAGGGCAGAAACGGGGTCACGAAGGGCAGACAGGGGCCACGAAGAGCGATAGCGGGGCCACGAAGGGCATGCATATGGGGCCACGACGGGCGCGAACGAGCGGGGGCCACGAAGGGCATACATATATGGGGCCAGAAAGGGCGACAGCGGGGCCACTGAGCTCAGAAAGTGGGCCACGAAGGGCAGCGAGAGGGCCACGAAGGGCGACAGCGGGGCTACGAAGGGCATGCATATGGGGCCGCGAAGGGCGCGAGCGAGCGGGGGCCACGAAGGGCATCTAATCCGGGGCCACAGAGGGCAGCGACGGGGCCGCTGAGGGCAGCACCGGGGCCACGAAGGGCAGCGAAGGGGCCACGAAGGGCGACAGCGGGACCACGAAGGGCATGCATACGGGGCCACGACGGGCGCGAGCGAGCGGGGGCCACGTAGGGCATTCGTTTATGGGGCCACAAAGGGCGACTGCGGGGCCACGAAGGGCAGCGAAGGGGCCACGAAGGGCGACAGCGGGGCCGCGAAGGGCATGCATATGGGGCCACGACGGGCGCGAACAAGCGGGGGCCACGAACGACATTCGTAGATGGGTCCACAAAGGCAGCAAAGGGGCCACGAAGGGCAGCGAGAGGGGGGCAACGATTGGCTTGAAGTCGGGCGTGTCCCCCTACAGGGGGATTTTGGGCGAAAAAAAACCCAAAATACTCCAAAAAATCCCCTGATTTTGCTTTTTTACTATTTTTGAATATTCCCCCTGTAGAGGGTCAGGCCCGACATAAGATTGGCTACGCGTTCGACCATGGGCCCCTGGTTGCCCTCTAGTCTTGAGCGGTCTTCGGCGATCTTCGTCGGTCTTCGGTGGTTTCCCGCGGCCTTCGGCGGTTTCTGGCGCGAAGGCTGGCTGGTTGCTTCGAACAGAGGGTCCATGATCGAACACCTCGGATAGGGGGGACTGGCTCAGGGGTGGGAAACATCGAGCTGGAATCGGCGATACATCGGCCCCCGACAGCGAATCCGCGCCCTCCTGGGTGGGGTGGGCTATCAGGTCCCTGTCGGCGATCAATGAGCGACTGGGGGTCGATGCATCCCCCTGAGCCTATTCCCCCCACTAACGTTGCTCCCGAAACGGCTCACTCTCTGGCTTTCGGGCCCGAATGCAAGCCTCCGGTGGACACGTTCGGGACGATTCCGGCACCCGTGGAACGCTCTCTACGAGGCGCAGCTGATGAAAACTGTCCCAGGCCTTGGAAACGTGTGAGAAACGTGTCCCTCCGAACGTTGCCTCCCCTGAGTGTTCCCACAACGCCCAGGCGTCTGGAGGGGAGAAGCCCGCCACTCCTGTCTCGGCGAGCTTCTGGCTCAGCATCCGCATCTCGGCGGACCGCTGCTCGGAGGCCGCGTGGTGGTCCATGGCTTGAGGCCTGCTGGCGAATATCCCGCAGGGGGGCGGCTGAAGCTCCTGCCTGCCCCAACCATCCCGCACGCCTCTCTGGTCGCTGCCGCTGTCCGCATTCTGGTCCGCATGGGCGGTGTGTCCTCCCTCCTCCCCCTCCCCCCAGGGCGACGAAATCTTTACACACCTACAGCTCCCTGGCCAGGCCATCTTGAACCCAGCAGCGGTGTATGCGCCACGCCCTCCTGGCCTGGCCAGGAGGGCGCATACAAAGCTCCCGGGCCCGGGAAGGGCCCGGCCTGGGGGCAGTGGATGTGTATAAATTTCGTCGCCCGATCCTCCTCCTCCTCCCTCCCATACAGGCCAATACAGACCAGCACGAGTGAGTCACACAGTGCACAACACATCCCTCGGGCACAAGCTCAGATCAGAAGGACTGGGGAATCATCCCAATCGCGAAATTCGACGCACTATCGTCATTTGGGCGGGTGCCGTGCCACATACATGTAGTCATCGGCAGCTTACCGTTAGTAAGCCAAATTCTTTGAATTTGAGATCATCAACACACCTCGTGGTAAGACCGAGTGCCTTCGACGTCCCAGCCTGCCCCCGCGCACCACACCACAGGCAACACCCAACCCACGACCGGTGGCCGAAGGTGCAAAAAATGCAAAGGCGGTGGCCGAAGGTGTCGGAAGCGGAAGCTCTCGGGACACTGAGCACGGACGGAGTGTCAGAGCACGGCACTGGAGAGTCCTCGCGGGGGGCGAGGCTGTCCTCAAACCGCATGACCATCGATGGCGATCGACACGCCACCGAGGGACGCGTGGGCTCCAAGACGGCCGCCCCGCCTCTGGAGTCACAGATCCAGCGGTCCCGCCTCCTGCCCTTCCTCCCCTCGGTCACTCCCCTCCCCTACTGTTTCCCGTCCCCCTCGCCCTCCATGTTTCCATCCTCGTCCTTGTACCCATCCTCAATCCCCTTTCCTTCTAGATTAACTCCTCCCTGTCGCATACCCCAGAAGTGTCGAAGTAGGGCGGCCAAGGCGTCTCCCGTGAGCTTGTAACCTGCAACAGCTAGAAATGGAGAGGAATCGTTGTCAAAATGGGGGGTCCTCGCATCGGCGACGCGCAAATTCGTTATGAACGCCTGCAACATGGAGATCTCGCCTGAGAGCCGCGCACATTCGTGTTAAAATGAACCATAGTCACACACGTGTTAAAGAAAAACGATAAATATCATTAGTCTGAAGGAGATCCTCGGGAGCTCCCACCCCCAACGGCGGATTGAGTCGACATGCCGACGGCTGTGAAGATCGCGTGCTCAGTGGCATCGGACGCGGCCAGCCGCGCGAACCCAACGAGGCCACGACCGTGGCCACCACGCGCAGCCCGACGAAACCGCGGGCACATCCGCGCGCGGCGCCGTCGCTGCGCGCGCCAGCTCCAATCGCGCAGCAGCCCGCACAGCTGCGGAAGAACACGCTCTGGCCGCACCCCGCGGTCAATTGACTGGGCGTACTCCGCGGTCAACTGACTACCCACCTGACCACCCCAACCTAACCCGAAGATCCGAACTTCGGGTTGGGGGGATACGGGTTCCATGCGTGTGTTTGTCCATGTTCCCCGACCCCCCCACTGGAAGTGGAGGGCAGATCGGGGCCTTCGGGTTGGGTTGGGCTGTTTTGGTGCGCGGTGATCAACCGCCCCCCACGCGGGCGAGCTCGAAATCCTGCGCACGGCCCCAAGAGCAAAGCCGAGTGTGCTCGCGAGCGCGGCCACAGCGACCGGCGCCCACAGCGAGTGGCCCCAGGGCGCGAGGTTACCTTGGCTCGTCATTCGCGGCCCAGGGGCCCAGAAACAGCGAAACAGCTCAGACTGGTTTTCTGAGTTTTTATGTTTGAAAAATGAGTTCAACAAACTGGTTTTTTGAATTCAAAACAATTTTTCTTTTTTAACCCAAAAAAAAGAAGTCGTTTTCGGGCAACCCTTCCCTTCTGGCCCTTCGGCCCTCGCGGCGGGATCCCCTTCCCCTGCCCTATCATCTACAACCCCCCCCCTTCGGTCGGTCGGTCGGTTGGTCAAGACGGGCCAGATGGCATCTACAACAAATTCTAAGCATAGGGCGAGCAAAGAAAGCGAGGCGCACGGAAACAGGAAGGAGGTAGGATGCGCATGAAACGAACCCATACAGCAGGCTCCACTCGCAGTCGGACAGCCCCAGAAGGCTCCCAAACTCTCAAGACACCCCGATCCCCTCCTCATCCCTCCCCCCTATGGCCGCCAGCGCCGCCCGTCCCTCCTCGCCGCCCCCTCTCCTCCCTTCCCCCCCCCCGCGCCGCCCCCGTCCTCCCCTCCTCCCCCCCGTCCTCCTCCCGCCCCCCCCCCCTCCCCTCCCCCCCCTCCTCGCCGCCTGCGCCGACCGCCCCCGCGGGGGGCCGCCGCGCCACCGCCCGACGCGGGGAAGGAGACTGGCGCGCGGACGCGGCGGCGCTCGGGCGGACCGCGCCTCGAGCCGCGGCCGCGCGCGCGAACGCGCGAGCGCGGGCGCGCGTCGGGCGGCGCTCCCGCCCTCAGCCACGGGCAGGTCGCCCCTCGTCCCCCATCGTGCATGCGGGCTAATTCGTGACCCCGCGCCCCGGCGTCACTTGGACGCGCGTGCGGCTTGCCTCTGCCGCGCTGCGACATCAAAAAGTCTGCCCGTCGAGATCCTTCGACACGACGCGGGCGACGTAATGATCAACCGGTGGAGCTGAGCGGAATCAAAGCACAGTGGGCGAACACAGGCCCTGATGACCGTCGAGCATGGAGCAGACGTCGCCTCTCGAGCCAGTGCGAAGAGGCACCGCTGGAGCAGTGAGCCAGCCGAGCCTCTCGACCTGGCCCCCCGCCCAAAGCGCCAGTCGGAGGCCCACCCGCCCCCGTTTCATGCGTGGTCTGGAGACGTTTTTCCTCGGGCGGGACTTCATGGGGGGGTCACAAATGGGGGGGTCAGAAAAGGTCCCCTTTCGTGCCCCTTTCGGGCCCCTCCAGAGCCCCAGGGGGCTCGTTTAGGTACCGTTTGGGTACCTTTTCGAACCACCCTCGCCACCCCCCCATTTATGACCCCCCCATTACGCGGCGCCCAATTTCCTGAGCACGTACCAGACGCCGGGCGAAAGCTGGCAAACCCGTGGCTGCTGACACGGAGCTCCGGGAAGTCCCACCAGCCCTCTGGGCGTCGGTGGTTTAGGGCGTTTCCTCTTCCACCCCTCCCTCTTCCCGTTCGGGGAGGGGTTTACCCCTCCCCCTATCCCCTCCCCACTGACCTGGACAGGAGGGGCGGGGAGCGGTCAGAGCGTCCAAAACGGCATCGGCGAAGAAGCCAAAATCATTGATTTTACTATGGTTTTGGCCCGCGCTAATTAGAGCTCCCCTCTTCTTTCATCGATTTCCTCCACGATGGCCGCAAGAGGCCCCCAGGATGCCCCAAGAGGCCCCGAGGTGGCCCCAAGATGGCCCCATGTGGCCCCAAGAAGCTCCCAAGAGGCCCCCAGGATGCCCCCAAGAGGCTCCCAAGAGACCCCCACGAGGCCCTAAGAGACCCCCCAGAAGCACCCAAGACGCTCCAAGAGGCCTCGGCGAAAATGCCCAAATCATTGATTTTACCAAGGTTTTGGCCACATTTGGGCCTCCTGGGGGGGGTGGCACTGCTTCAGATGACTCCAAGAGCGCCTGGGAGAGCCCAAGATGACCTCCAAGATGGCTCAAGATACCCCAAGATGCCTCAAGATGCCTCCCACGATGCTCCAAGAGGCCCCAAGGCCGCTTCAGGACGGCTCCAAGTGGCCAAAGAGCTCCCCCAGGAGGCCCCGAAGAGGCCAAAATCCTTCCAAACCTTCGGAAAATCAACAGTTTGGGTTTTCTCGCCTTTTCGCTTCCGATGGCCATCCGAGGCTTCAAGATGACTCCAAGATGGCCCAAGAGGGCTCCAAGAGCGCTCTGAAGGCTCCCAAGAGCGCTTCAAGAGGGCCCCACGAGGCGCCCATGAGGCCCCAGGAGGCCCCAACAAGCGCCCCAGAGGCCTCCAAGAGGCCCCCAAGAGACCCCCAAGAGGCCCCAAGAAGCTCTCCAAAGCACCCAAGACGCTCTAAGAGGCGTCCGGGACCGCCAAGAGGCCCCTAAGACGCTCCAACCGGCCTCCACTGGGGTACCCAGTCGAAAGTGAGCCTGGTAACTCAAATAGGGCATATAGCCTGGCAAATAGCATCCATCGCTCTGCTGTGAGGGTACAGTATGAGGGGTGGATGGGTAAGATAGGATAAGATCGATGTAGTGATCTTTCCAGCACATAGCGAACACAAGCAGTGTCCGGGCAAATAGGGCGCGCGTGCCTTGAGCCCAAGGCAGCGGCGCGCGAGCTATGCTCCCGATACTATAACATATCCCAAAGAGCTACCCTCAAAGTCGGGAGGGGAGGAGACGGAGAGCATAGTCGCACGCAAAATTCGCGCGCACGACTGTTTGCAAAGAAATGAAAACAGTGCGTACAGACTGGCCAAACGCCAGACTGTAAGGCGAGTTTCCTCGCGAAGTATTTCACGCAAATACAGAACAGCCCCTTCACATAATGAAGGGCTATCGGCCTAGTTGGAGGTAGGCCAAAATTAGGCCATACCTCACCAAGCAAATGTGTATTAAGGCAAAGAGCCTGAGTTGTATGAAGCCGGCTCGTTGCCAGGCGTGAAATATGAGGCTCGTTTCCGAGCAACTAGAGGGGCGCCTTTATAGTAGGCGCCCGTGCTGGCAAACTGGACCACGAGGGCAACAAGGACAGACTAAAATTGATTAGACTTAGGTTTGTCTCTGTCCTCGGGACCCCGAAAGGGAACAAATTGCTTCACGTCATACTTAAATGACTGAGTGCCTGACATCACTTCCAGAAGCAGTTCCCGATCGATGCTTCCCTTTGTATGCCCATCTGCGGTCATATCCCTAGTATCACACCATTGCACGTTATGTACTATACCTATATCCATAAGCTCACGTATCCAACTGATATGTCCAAGCAGAGTCCGTTCTGTGGGTATTTTGAGATCCCTGCTTGATAAAGATTTGTAGACGGACTCAGCGTCTATGGTCAGAGAGACTTTGATAGCAAGGCCTCCAACTTCACGCATATCTCGTAGTTGTCGTGGAGTCAAGGCCCCTGCCTTAAGCTCATGGAGAGTAATGAGCGTAGGGTAACACTCATCAAGGTTATGTGCGGCTGCAAGTGCCTCCGCAGCATAACTGGACCTCACCTGTAATCGGTGTGATTTGCATAGTCCGTCACAGAGGTGAACGACGGACTTGCCTTGAGGCGAGTTTCCTCGCCGTAGTACGTTGGCCCCGCGTATGCCGTAGCCCTTGGTCTCGTCATCCTCCTCCCCGGTAAGCTTCCGATATCCCGAATCGCTATGGATGTCGACTTCATTCGTCGGCTTCATCCGAGGGAAGGTGATACGTTTCGGACTGCTGATCAGCTTTCGCGTCACAGCATTCAAACGTCTGACTTGTAAATTGGTGGGCCCTTGAATTTTCTGAAGAGAGACCACATATACCATAAGCCAAATTTGAGTAAGAAGGGCATAGGCAAGGGCTCCTCGCAGGCTGACGAACATGTCGGTAATAAGTTTCGTGGCTTTGGCGTCGGCCGCCGCTCCTGTAAGTTCTGGATGTGTGATAGGACGTAGTTGTTTGATATACTCGTCCTGGTCCATGATCACATCTCCCTGATCATTCTTAGTGTAGCGGACGGCACAGTTCGTATATGTGTGCTTGTTGAGCTTGCATTTGCCAAAAACCTTTTCGACACGTTGTACATAGTCGTCGATATTTTTCTCTAGACCTGTCATATTAATGTCATCGACATGTTTTGCAGTCAGAAGATCTTGGCTGAATTCAAATTCAGGATCGTAATTAGTCGGTATAAGTCCTATAGCTCGTGTGGTCGTACGAAGTTCGAGAGAGAACGCTCTTGGGGCGTCCTTAGTACCCGTTCCTGGTTTGAGGCACCTAAGACAGCGTCGACTTTCGTCGTAGGATGAGAAGCCGGGTAGGGTACGAAGTACCTGAGCGCTTCCTGGTGGAAGAGTAAAGCAGACCATGCGAGTTTCCTCGCCAGTGGCATGGGCAAGTTCCTCGTAGGTCAAACCTTTAAGGAACGCCTTATCGATATCCATGGATGCTAAGATCCACTCTGGATGACATGCCGCTTCACTTGCCAAGAGTCGTTGAGACTGCCTTCGGGCGGTTCCCGAGAATGTTTCCACATCAAAGGCCTCAGTATCCATAAATCCACGAAGGACCAATCTGAGACGAATGGTTTTAACGTTCTCGGTGCCCATCTTTACGAACTTCCACTTGTATACATATCTGGATGTCATGATGTTGGAAGCTTTGGATAAGTCGTACATCTCAAAGCATCGGTTATCAATCCAGATCTTGAGCTCAGTATATAAGGCTTCACTAACCTCCTTTGGATGTGCTGCTATGTCGGCTTTGGTCAGTAGGTCGTCTTCTTTGACAACCACAGCACGTTTAGCGGCATTGGATACATATACTCTCATCGTTGCGACCATATCGGTATCGAGCTGTGCAAGTTGGGTCTGATCCAACACTATTTTTGACATTTCTGACGTAAAGCATAGTTCAACGTAAGGACCATATTCATCACTGTCTAGGGAATAGCTCTCGTCGTTTGTGTTCGAACAAAGAGATACTAGACAAGACTCACATGATTTAGGCTCGTCTCCGAGCATATCTGATGATGTAATATCATCTTCGTCCGCAAATGCTGAAACCAAAACGCATCGGTTAGGCAGCATAGTTGTTGGGACGCAATAGAGATAATCATCTGTAATCGTCGTAGGATGAAGGTCCATACGTAGTTCGTCGTACCACTCTTCCAGCATCATGGCTTCGATATTGTGTTCCTCATTTTCCTCATAGATTGTCGACAGACGGCCTTCGCTAGGCGATGAAGCATCTGGTGTGTCTGGAGAAGGCCTGTTTCCAGGCGACTCGTGTTCTCCAGACGTATTGCTTGGATGCTGATATTTAGCCAGGTCATCGTGAAATCCTAAGGAAGGAACACGTGAAGTCAAGCATTGAATAAGTCTGGAGTGAGTGCTACCAGTAATCTGAGAGATGTTTAAGCCGGTGCCCACACATTCGTAGTAGTGGAACGCCGGGCTAATGTCATTGTCATAGTGGATCAGCGTAGACCCGGTGGCGTACTTTACTGCAGGTAGGCTTGACACACTCTTAGCCAATCGAACTGCTACTACATGTTCCACTCTGAAGTAATTTCGTACGAGATACTGTAGTGCTAGGTGTACGCGCGGGTGAAACTTGCTATCGTCTGACAGGTTAAGGTTTCCCTTGTAGTCGGGAATATACCCGAAAACTTTGGCAGGTTTCCCTGCACTGAGATGTGCCACATAGGCAAGGACGGTTTGCATGGCCATGTTATCCATGCCAAGTTCCCGTGTGAG